CCTCCAATATTCAAACATTCCATCCTGTAGGGAAATACGTAAGCAGGAAGGTAAAGCACTCGAAATAGCTTCAGGAAGTCCCTGAAACTGACCACATCTACTGGGCCCCTTCCAGCCAGAGTAAGCAACAAAAGGTAAGAGTCACTCTCAAGACAAGCCAGTCTTGTCCAAACAAGACAAACTGTAAAGACAACTGAGACCAGATGAGCAGCCTGGAAGCAGAAACCAGCTAAGCTGCCTAAACCACCTTAGGCACCTAGAAAAAACATTCTCCAAACTAATGAGCTGCTTGTGGGCTCTGCAGTGGGCTCCAGGTTCCCAGCTTTGTGAGCTGTCACCCATGTGGGGGCAGGTTTTGGTAATCAGCTGTCTTTGCTCCTGTAAGTAACCCCTCACCCATCTTCCCCTAAGTAACCCTAATTACAACTCATGGTTCACCAAGATGGACTCTCTCTAGTGGTATCTATTCTTTGGTTTGTCTTGGGTTTCCTAGCTGGGGTGAAGTGAGCAGGCAAGTGTGTGTGCGCACACACGCTCGTTTCATCTCCCCAGGAAAATTTTTGTCACATAACTATAGCTGCTTATGTAGGTGCTGGAGAATCAAACCCAGGTCTTAAGTTTGTATGGAGAACATTTTACCAACTGAGATATCTCCTGAGCTTCAAAATTAAAGGATTTTTATTAAAATGTAGCCCTAAACAGTTCTCAGAGCAAACAGATATGGCACTATGTCACTGTGACAGTTGCCCTAACAGAAAGCCATCTAATGCTACTTATGTCCCTACATGATGTGTCCAGCACTTCACTGAAAATGACTAGCCTCTCCATCAAATCTTTACATCCACAATTTACAAAAATATGTGACACAGAGAAATTAAATACAGGCACAAGGAATCAAATAGAAAACGTGTTATGTCTCTCTAAAAATCTTAGATGTTCCCAGGATCCACATGGTAGCCCACAAACATCCATAACTCCAGTTCCAAGAGATCCAACAGGCTCTTCTAACCTATAAGGGCAGTTGGCACAAATGTGGCACACATACAAACAAGAGATCCAACAGGCTCTTCTAACCTATAAGGGCAGTTGGCACAAATGTGGCACACATACAAACAAGCAGGCAAAACAAACACTCATACACATAAAAGTAAAGACATATAAAGAATTTTTAAAAAATGAGGAGCTAGAGAGAGAGCTCAGTGGTTAAGAGCACTTGATGCTCTTGAGAAAGAGCAGGCTCAATGCCCAGGTCCACACTACAGCTCACAATTGCCTGTCACTCCAGTTCCAGGAGAACCACTGCTCTCTTCTTGCTTCCATGAGCACAGGACATATATGTGGTATTCAAATACATATCTGGGCAAAACTCATACACATAAATAAAAGTAAATCTTTAAAAAGGAGAAAGGGATCCAAACAGATTAAAGATACCAATAAAGAAACACAATAACCAAATACAATGTGTGAACTCTATTTAGGTCCTGGTTTTAAATGTATATATACTAAAAAAAATTTCTAAAGTTGGAAAACTCTTAAGTGTGAACTAAGATTATGGAATTGTCACTTCACATATTTGATAATGGTATGTCAGGAAGGAAATATTTTTATTCTTTGGAGAAATGTGCTGAATTAAAGGTGTCTAAAACTTACTCTAAAGATGATTTTAAAAAACTGAATACTAAGTACATGTATTTGCACATGAATCGTGTGTGTGTGTGTGTGTGTGTGTGTGTGTGTGTGTGTGTGTGTGTGTGTGTTAAAGCAAATATCAAACATATCTGAGTAGGGGAGCTCATGAGGCCCCACTTCCTTGAGGATCTATCTATAAGTCATTAATGGTTGCTAGAGGAGGGAAATCCATTTTCTTCAGGAGTGTAGCTGCTAAGGTAACATATGACTATAAGTAATCACTTACCACATGCACCTATAGGCAACCCTAGTGAAATTCACCAGGTCAAACAAACAAAGATTACCTGGGAAAAGGAAGAGGACCATGAGGAGTGGGGGTGCAGGGCAGATAGGAGAGGCTAGCAGAAAGTGAGTATGACCACAACACATTATATACATGTAAGGCAAGGTCATAATGAACCCATTATTATGTATAGTTAATATGTGATAATAAAAAGTTTAGTCTGGGTGTAGAGAATATAGGGCTGCAATATCCTTTCAACTTTAATACAGATAAAATATTTTTCACAGTAAAAACTTGTAATGGCAGGCAGAGGCAGGCGGATCTCTGTGAGTTCGAGGCCAGCCTGGTCTACAGAGTGAGTTCCAGGACAGCCTCCAAAACAATACAGAGAAACCCTGCCTCGGAAAAACCAAAAAAAAAAAAAAAAAAAAAAAAAACAACAACAACAACAAAAAAACCAAAACAAAACAAAACGTGTAATGGCATGGTGAATGGTGGCACCTGCCTCTGACCCCAGCTCTCAAGAGGGAGAAACAAGGAGATCACAAGCCCCAACCAGCCTGGGCTATAAGTAAGACCTTGTCATCCTGTCTCAAACACTGAAAGAAGAAAAGTCTTCCTACTCTAGGTATCTTCTATTAACTGTATATTTTATATGTAGACTTTACTGGGCTGGGGATGTAGCTCAGTTTGTAAAGTGCTTGACTAGCATTGCTAGCGCCAGATAAAACTAGATGTAATGGCACACACCTGTAATCACAGTACTTGGGAGGCAGAGACAGGAGGATGGTAAGAAATTCAAAGCCAACCTGGGTTATAGGTGCCTTGTTGCAAAAATAAAGATAATCTTCCTTTTGATTAGATTTAAGTTTTTCAAGGCCTGTCTTTTATATGGCATTATTAGTAAAGGTCCACTTTTATTTTCTTCTAATCTTTTCCAAGACAGGGTTTCTCTGTAGCTTTGGAGGCTGTCCTGGAACTCACTTTGTAGACTAAGCTGGCCTCAAACTCACAGAGATCCGCCTGCCTCTGCCTCCCGAGTGCTGGGATTAAAGGCGTGCGCCACCAACGCCCGGCTATTTTCTTCTAATCTTGTTTTCCAACATATTCTATGAAACAATTTGTCTTTTCTCCATTGACTTGTGAAGGAATTTTCATTCCCATTGAATTATCTAAGCAACAGAAAGAGAAAAAAAGTAAGAAATCAATGTGGGGGGGGACAGGTATAAATGGGAAATATGTAGTTTAGCTATGGAATACCTATGAATAAAAAAATGTTATTATCAAGTTCCTGAAAGTCCACCACATTTACAAGAGTACACAAGAAGTCAATGGCCAGCAGTATGGTCGAATATCTCTGTAATCCTAGCAATATGAAGATGAGGGTTGGGGGAGGGAGGGTACCCAACCTAGGCTACAATAGCAAGATTCTTGTGCAATGCTTTACTCTCTTGGCTTTTTGAGGGATCTACCACCCAGTTCCCAAGTAAATCACACACAGGGCTTATTCTTAGTTATGAGCACCCAGCCTTAGCTTGGCTTGTTTCCAGACAGCTTTTTTTACCTTAATTTAATCTGTCTATCTTTTCCCTCTGGGCTTTTACTTTTTTACTCCTGTAACTGTGACTGTAACTTTTTTACTCTGTGACTGTCTAGGTTTCTGGGTGGCTGGCCCTGACATCCTTCTCTCCTTCTTCTCTTGCTCCTGTTCTCTCTCTTCCTTGTTTCTCCTCCTATTTATCCTCTCTGCCTGCCAGCCCTGCCTATCCTTGCTCCTGCCTCGCTATTGGTCATTCAGCTCTTAATTAGATGATGAGGAGTTTTAGACAGGCAAGAAATCACAGCTTCACAGAGTTAAACAAATGCAGCATAAAGCCGGGCGGTGGTGGTGCACGCCTTTAATCCCAGCACTCGGGAGGCAGAGGCAGGCGGATCTCTGTGAGTTCGAGGCTAGGCTGGACCGACAGCCTCCAAAATAATACAGAGAAACCCTGTCTCGTAAAAAAAAAAGAAAAAAAATTGCAGCATAAACAAAAGTCACACACCTTAAAATAAAATTCTACCACAGATTCTGTCTCGCAAAGAAAAGGTAAAAGGATAATTTTTTTCCTACTGAGCCACACACTGTATTATACTTCACCAACACTCCCCTAGACAGAACAAAGGGGGAAAAGCAGCATCTATACCTTAATGTGACTATTACAAACTCGTTTTCCATGAAAATTAGAATTTTGCAGGTGTCTCTAAACCATATCTATCTTTCTCTCTGTCTCTCTGTCTCTCTCTCTGTCTGTCTGTCTCTGTCTCTGTCTCTGTCTCTGTCTCTGTCTCTGTCTCTGTCTCTCTCTCTCTTTGGCTTGTCGAGACAGGTTTTCTCTGTGTTGTTTTGGAACCTGTCCTAGAACTCACTCTGTAGACCAGGCTGGTCCCGAACTCACAGAGATCTGCCTGCCTCTGCTTCCCGAGTGCTGGGATTAAAGGCGTAAGACACCAATGCCCGGCTTAACCCATCTCTTTTTAAAAATGAAGTCAGATATTTAAAACACGCATCTATTAGACAGATGTGCTGACTAGTTTCATGTCAACTTGACACAATCAAGAATCATTTTACAAAAGGGAACCTCAATTGAGAAAATGCCCCCACCAGATTGGCCTGTGGATAAGCCTGTGGTACATTTTCTTGATTGATGTTTGATGTGGGAGGGCCCAGATCCCTATGAGTGGTACCACCCCTAGACTGGTGGTCCTGGATGGTATAAGAAAGAAGACTGGGCAAGCCATGAGCAGCAAGACAGTAAGAAGCGGTCCTCCATGGAGTCGGCTTCAGCTCCTGCCTCCAGGGTCCTGCCTGGAGTCCCTGCCTGGAGTCCCTGCCTGGAGTTCCTGCCCTTACTTCCCTCAATGATGGGGTGTTAACTATAAGAGTAAGAAAAAATAAACCCTTTTCTTCCCAAGTTGTTCTTGACCATGGTGTTTCATCACAGCAACAGAAACTTATCTAAGACAATAAGTTCTTTGTTCCGTTAGAGACTATGAACCAGAAAAAGCAAACTGTCCTCCACCGTATAACAGAAATCAAAAACCATACCTTTTCTTTTCAGCAAGACTAGCGCCTTCATCCTTCAGCTGTTTACTCTTCTGTTTGCAGCCTTCCTGGAGGCTTTCCTTCCTCCGTTTGCTGGCGTGAACCCAGCTCCCATCCTCATTCTCAGCTGCATCCTTCTCATCAGCAGCTTCAGCTTCAAACTGCTGTGACGTGGCCTTCGATACCTTCTCACCAATCTTCCTCTTCCACCCAAAGGAAGCCATTCTGGAAAATTTCAGGAACTGCTTTAAAATGTCACAGAAGTATTCTAATCAATAGCTGAGTACAGATGGACAGAGATTACAGCCATGTTAGCACCCATTTATGGATGAAGAAAGAATCATCTAGAACCAAAAAATGTCTAAGATGAGACCTGGACACTACTGTTAACCTCATCTCCTAATGGAAGAGTGTGCTCTTGCAGACTAACCCTGCATTCCAACAGGCCTCTGCCAGTTTATACAAAACACATGATAGAGTGAAGCATGTTCAGTAATGCATCATATGTAGTAGCGGGAAGCAGAAACTGAAGAAAAACAAAGCTGTTTCTTCAAGAAATGAATAATGGGAAAGGGAACCCAGGTTCAAAATTCCCAACACCCACATGACAAAGCTAATGCCAGGTCTACACGAAGGGTCTTGGGGAAAACTATGAGCAAAGTATTTCTTATGAAATTATGACACCTAGGAATTAGTCCAAGGTCCTCAATGGTGAGAAATGCCATGGGGTGGGTAAAATAAGATCACTCTGAATTGGTAACTGGTGAAGTTGAAAGATCAGCATAGAAGATTCATTGCTCCTCCTCCCCTCATAGATATGGAAATTTTCCTTAATTTCTTTTAGGCTTTGAGCACTTTTTGTTTTGCTTTTGATACAGGAACCACTAGAATACAGCTGTTCTAGAATTCAGACTGGACTCAAACTCATGATCCTCGTAGCTCAGCCTTCTATGTGCTAAAAGTACAAATGTGTGCCACTACACTTGGCTATAAAATAGTTTCTAAAGATTTAGACACGTATTGACTCAACAACAACAAAAAAACAACCATTATTAAACAACTTTGTAAACCTACCATGACATTCGAATGCTAAGGAAAAGAAAGGTTAGCTGACTGAATAAAGGTGAATAATGGATGTCTTCAACAGTAGTGATAAGATTAATTAATAAATCAGTAATCACTAGCTACATGGATGGGCTTTAAGATACAGGGGAATCCAAGGAGGCATGGTGGACCATGCCTTTAATCCCAGCACTTGGGAGGCAGAAGCAGGCAAATCTCTGAGTTTGAGGCTAGTTCCAGGACAGCCACAGCTGTTAAACAGAAAAACCCTGTCTCAAATAAATAAATAAATAAATCATAACGTCTGATTGTATATAACTATCTTATATGCTGTGTATATTCAGGCATATATAAGATTGTATCTATTCTTAGAGGAATTGTAAGCCTAAGGAGACAAGAAAAAAAAAAAACAATGAACTTAGGTCTTTTTGAAATTATCAAGCAATAGGCATTAAGAATGAGAGGGAGGGTGGGAGGAAGGCAACAGTAAGTTTTTAGCAATACCAAGAGATTCATCACTGATACACATGATTGAAGTGAAATGTAAGTAACAACAGGAAGAGAAAAAAACTGAGGGTGGCTAAGTTCCAATCAGAACTGAGAAAATTTCGGGTCACAGGCCTGTTACTGAACAAGAGAAACTGCCATCACCAAGCTCGCAGGCTGATGCAGGTGAACCACATGCTTTCCACAAAGCAGTGAATTGTGGGAAATCCTGGGCATATTGGGGAGTATAAAATGCACTAGGGAATTAGGACAATGGAAGCTTCCTCCTAGGCCTCATTATAACATGGGGAAATGTACTTCCTCTGTCTGAAAAATCACTTGATATAGCCCAGGGGAAGACCAGGAAACGGTTTTAAAAAATGAAAGTATGGTTACTACGGATCACAAATCCAGAGGGGCAGAGTGAATACAGCCTGGGAGAATGGATGCTTGGAGTGTCTTCAAAGGATACTGAGATAGAGGAGGAGGAGGTGGCGGTGGTGATGCTCTTGTATTTATGACTGTCCCTAAAGGTGATGAAAATGATGATCACGTTTTCTGGTCTCAGGTTCCCAAATTTCTACATTACCAGTGTGGGGCACCAGGCAGTGTAATGCATGTATTGATATTAACAGGTTGTGTTTACTGAAGACAACTTCACTTTAATCACTGGTCAAATGTGTTAGCAGAAATTAGGGATGGAATGAAGGTGAACAGAATGAGATCGTCAGTGTGTGTTTGTGTGTGTGTATCTCAATAAGGGCTACTGGGCAATCTATATGAGCGAATTGTATAACACGCAGGTTACATCTATCTCAACTAAACTATTTTCATCTCAAACTATGAACTTGTTGTACCTCTACGGTTGTGTTTTTAATTAATGCATCACTAAAACCCCTTACCAGAAGGGGTTTGGGTAGATCTGGACTTGGACGGATAAGGCGCCTTAGATCTTAAACAGTTTTCGCCAGGATAAGAAACCCATCGAGGAAAATCACAACTGTACAGGTTTCGGGTTGACTCGTGCCTGGTGTTGAACGTCAGCACATTCTACAGAACGGCTGAGAGGGATGAAAATTCTGAACAATGACACCTGTATTCTACGCTGACGTACACAGGTCCCCACAGCAATCGCCGGGCTCGACACTTGACCCGGCCAGCCACAAGCCGGTAGGTGCTTGCGACGGAGCAAACGTCTTCTGGTACTGACTGCGTGAGAGCATGCAGCGCCCGGCTTGGAAAAACACCGGCTGGACGTCAGCAATCACGACGGCATCCCTCCGAGCAGGAGAGGCGTACTCGGGGGTGGAGGATTAAGAGACACGACTGACCTCGAAACGCCACCAAAGGGGGCTCCGTCTCCCCTTCCTGGGCCGACAGTAAAAACGAGCGGACGGCCACAGCTCCTCCGGCCGCCGGGCCCGCACACCGAGCCCCGCCACCGCGCCTCGCGCCCGGGGCAGCGGCGAACCCGCGGGCTGCGTGGACCTCCCCGGGCCGCCCTCGCCCCCCAGTCCCGCACGCAGAGCCCTCTGGCCCTGCTTCCGTCCCCTCCGCCTCCCACCGCCCACCCGCAGCCAGCTACCTGAAAGCCACTCCGTGGTCCGGTGTTTACATTCCACTTGCCCTTTGGCACCGGAAGCGGAAATGATCCCGTCGGGCTTCTACCCGGCCTTGCCTGTCTGCGCTCCTTAATTCTCTATTTAAAAACGCATGAAGTCGTCCGGGGACGTTCCAACAGTCCAGAAAAGTGGAGAGAGAAAAAGAGAGGGCTTTCTTATCCTCCAGACCCTTCTACGAGGCCACAGGTCCCAGAAGTCACTGCGGCGCCCAAGGGACTATGGGATTTGTAGTAGGCCATAGGACCGAAACAACGCCCTCTAGCAGCAGCCCGGAGTGGCGGACTCGGGATAGGAGGCTCAAATCCAGGCAGCTGTGCTTTGCCATAGAACAGTCATCAGGTAAAGGGATTACAGCCTAGCTAGCCAAGCCTAACCCGTTGAGGCCAAGTAAGATGCAGAGGAAAAAAAAAAAAGAGGAAAAATCAGAGCTGAAAATAAGTTCAAGGGGACCTGTGCAGGTTTATTTTTGTCAACTTTTTTTGTTTATTTGTTTTTGTATTTGCTTTTCGAGGCAGGGTTTCTCTGTGGCTTTGGAAGCTGTCCTGGAACTCGCTCTTGTAGACCAGGATGGTTTCGAACTCAAGATCTGCCTCCCGAATGCTGGGATTAAAGGCGTGCGCCACCAACGCCCGGCTTATTTTTGTCAACTTGACACAAACCTAAACATGGCTAAAAGAGGGACTCTTTCTTGAGAAAATGCCTCCATAAGATTGCCCTCTAGATAAATCTATGGGGTATTGTCTTGAGTAATGACTGATGTGGGAGGGCCCAACCCATTGTAAATGGTACCACCCTCCCCTGGGCAGGTGGATTAGGAGGTAAACAGAGCAAGTCAGGAGGAGCAAATCAGTAAGCGAGCCTTCCGCCAAGAGCTCTGCATCAGTTCCTTCCTACCTCCAAGTTCCTGCCCCAACTTCCTTCAGTCTTCCTTCCATGATGTGGAACTGTAAGCTGAAATAAACCATTTCCTCCCCAAGTAGACTTTGGTTGTGGTGTTTTATCCCAGCAATAGGAAAGTAAGACTTCAGCTGATCAGGAGGGCCAAGGCTGAAATGCAGGATTCCCGTGAGAATCTTCAACACAGCCTGAAAACAGCACGGGCCACTTTTTAAAAGTAAATTAGCAGGCAAATGTTAGTACTGGTATATACTGAGGAAACTGAAAATCGTTAAGTTTTTATCCACATAGCTATGCTACAAAAAGGAAGAATCATTTTTAGAGATCACCCATTTTCAGCCTCAAATGCACTTTGCATTTCTTACTACTGGTTAGTTATTTGTTGGGAGAAACATTGTAGGATGCTGAGATGCCACTAACAGTCCCCATACCATAGTCACCAATAGGACCACCAAATTGTCTCTCTCCAAATATCAAAATACCATGAAAGAAAAATCTTACCCCCAACGCTGGTACCAAAACCACTGATGCACTCATTGGGTTCTAGGGATGGAACTCATGTCATCAGGTTCTGCGGCAAGCATCCTTGACCCGCTGAACCGTCTCACAAGCCCCTTGCTTCGCTCATTTCAAGAAAAGGTCAAATATCCAAGTATGAATAATAAGTGTGTCAGTGGTTCAAAAAAAAAAAGTTCCACAAAAAATTTGGAACTGTCATCTGACCTCCATATTTGTCCTATGTCATACAAACCCCCCCGCACACACACAAATTTTTTTCTTAGAAAAGAAACTAAAGAAAAACAGTTGGCAGTTTGTACCAGTGATAAAATGATGCTGACAGCTTGCTAGTATGCCTAGACTTGGAGATAAGTGGTGATTTCAAATGCAATCTTACTCATAATTTGATTACATTCATTAACATTTTAAGAGTTGTAAAGTGAGCCAGTGTTTTCAGAATAACCCATGAATGACTGTGGTAGCCAGCCTCTCACACCCCTGATGCTCTTCCCATGATGTGTCAGAACTGATCCATGTCTTCACTCTCATCAATTGTAATAAACACTGTGGTGGAGGCAATTCCCTCCTGGATGAAGGTGTATATGGTCACATTCACTATAATCCTGAAACACACAGACTATCCACTGAGCCCATGCTTACATTATTTTTGTACTGTAGTGCATATGTGTGTATCTCCATAAATCCCTAACAAGATGGATGGAGCAGAACTTGTATCTTGAAGTTTTGGTCGCCTTTGTCATGAATAGTTCACATTGGCCATAAGTGAACAGTGCTTGAGGCTCTGTTCATTTTCTGAGTCTCTTGGGGTGTCTTAACTTTGATGCCCTCTACTCCAGTAAAGGTTTGGCAATAACTTCCAAGTCACTAAACATATTTGTTGGCATTTACAACCACCAGAAGTTTATTCATTCATAATAAACAAGGCAGTTTAATAGATGTGGTTTCACATGACAGTTTCTTGTGCAGATTTTCAGAGAATGCCTATGAAAATGAGTTGTCTGAAAGCACTTTACATGCTGTTCATAACATTCTTTAATACGTCTTTGCTGTCTTAAATATTTAGAAAGCCAGCAATCTAGCAAAAGCCCCAAGAGCTTTTCTAGATTTAATAGTAAACAATATTTGAGCAATGATGGAATTCTGTCCAGTGGTTGTGACTAGTATGTGAATAGTGTGTGACAGCTGCTTCAACTTTTCTGTTTGCATCTTAATATTTTGTCTAGATGGCTGATTTCTAGATGAAACCTAAACAAATTTATGAGAAACGAAAATCAGCATTTGGGGTACTAAAATATAATCAAGCACTATTTTATATTTCAGTACATGAAAGAGCCCAGATACTCAGCCATGAATAAGTGAACTGCCAACTCCCACACCTAGATTAATCAAGAAAGACGTAATGGATGACAAATGAGTATTTTCTTTTATTATGCCAGCTTTCTAAATCAAGGTACTCTGGGCAATCATACATAACCCACAAAGATTGACTCCGCCCTACATCCAACTTCACAGTTAGGTTGTGTGTGGAATCTCATTCATCTTGTCAGGGTCCACATTGAGCAGGCGGAGGTTAAGGAGAAGGAAGAAAGATTTAGATATGTTTTTCTTTCATTCCCAAAATGCCACATGGAACTCAGATCTTACACACCCAGCCACATTAGTTCATCTGTGAATGGCATCAAAGGTCCAAAGGATGGTGCAAGGAAGGGAGAGAATTCATATAAAATTACCTAAGACTCCAAAACACTACAAAATCATCTTAAGAAAAAATATAATCAAAGTAAAAGCAATGGTGTTTATTTCAGTGAAATTATTTTAAATTAGATATATTAAGCTCCCACATGTCCAAACTTGGTAGAAAAGTTCCTTTCATGAGAAATCAATTTTAATGGCAAAATTTTTACATATCAGCAAAATCTGTTATATTTAAAACTATGTATACAGTACTTTTCTGGCAAAAACTTATACAGCTTTCAGTTATCAAGACAAAGTAAAAATATGGTTGCATAAAATCACAAAAAAATATAAACTGCTGAAAAGATAATAAAAAAAGATTAAAAATCATTTGCATTGACTCCCTTACATTTTCAACATAAGAATTTTGCAAACTACATTCACAATACATTTGTGAAAATTCTGTTGCCAGCTTGACTTGTCATTTCAGATAGCCTAGCTTAAAAAAAATTGACTGCAATAGTCTATATTTATCATACTATTTATACAAGTGCAATATTTAAATATCTTCAAAATAAAACTCAGTAACTAAAAGGAATCACAGAATAACTTATAAAAGAAGCAAAGTTTACAAAATTAACAATTTTTAGAAGGTCCTATTTAATTGGTTCCTCCTTTTGTGCCCCTTCCCCCCAACAGTTAATAGAGATATTAGTTCTATTTACAAATCTGGAATTTTAAAAACACACTCTTCCATTCTTTACATCAGGAACACAATGCTGCATTTGGACAGCATAAGTAACGTCAGTAAACCCCAAACAAAGGACACACACACACTCACGGTATAAATACAGTTCAGAACTTATTTCAATGGAGGATCCATTACTTTATACAGCTTCCAAATTGGAGTTGAATAAAACAAGCCCTGAACAAAAGAATCATAATCTTTGTTTGGAATTCAGTGCATAAACTATAGAGTAACCCTTTATGCAAGTTATCGTGACCTCCAAATTCATTCCCTTCTGGTTGGTTATGTAAGTGCTCAACAGATTTTGGGGGGGTAGGATTTTTTAAAATAAATATAGTGAAAAAAAGTCTCTCTTGAAAAGGGGAAATGATTACCTTTTAAGGAAAATATATGTTTGCATTTCTGGGATCAAACCCACAAGCTAGATGCATCCTAGACAAGCACCACCACTGAGCTAGAGCCTCAGACCCAATTCCTTAAACTTCAATAGAAGCCAAATATGAACAATAAGAAATTAATTATAAGCTCATAAAATACCAAGCTTTGTCTTCTGTGACTTTAAATCTTCATTTACAACTCTAATGCTGTGCTGTCACTTAAAGGGGAGAGGCATAGAAATCAGAGGTCTAAGAAAGATATTACTTCTTTAGCCACTAATTTTTTAAAAATAAAACCTGAAATAAACTTGACCATTTTAAGAATTGATCCTTTCTATACTTTCTCAAAATATTATTAACCTGATTAAAGAGATACAACTGAAGGTGGTGGTGGTGCACGCCTTTAATCCCAACACTCAGGAGGCAAAGGCAGGCGGATCTCTGTGAGTTCGAGATCAGCCTGGTCTACAAGAGCCAGTTCCAGAATAGCCTCCAAAACCACAGAGAAACCTGTCTCAAAAAAAAAAAAAAAAAAAAAAAAAAACAGAGAGAGAGAGAGATACAGCTGAAATGAGACTATAAATGTAAGCCGGGCGTTGGTGGCGCACGCCTTTAATCCCAGCACTCGGGAGGCAGAGGCAGGCGGATCTCTGTAAGTTCGAGACCAGCCTGGACTACCAAGGGAGTTCCAGGACAGCCTCCAAAGCCACAGAGAGACCCTGTCTCAAAAAAAAAAAAATGTAAATGGGATTCTGGACAGTTAAGAGATAAATATGGAAGGTCATGAGCTCTCTGGAAATTACTGATTTTATAATGCATTCAAGAGTTTCTTAAGGGACAATATTATATTTAGGAGACGCTTAAGTATTTAGGGCTGGGTATGTGTTTCTTA